CGTCATCGTCATATCAGCCTTTAACTGTCCACTGCTGAACATAAGCCTCCCTTTAGGGGTAGTGCCAGTAGTTGCCACGCTTGGCAGGCGGATTAGCAACCGCAGTCAGGCTTTAGAGATGTTTGAAGAGGAAGATGAGATGAAGAGTGACGCTGTTGCTCATCTCTCGCCCTCTCTTAGTCGGGTTTCACGACATCCGCTGGAAAGGAAGGGGTGGCCTATTCTATGCCGGGACCACACAGCGAGAGGGTAGATGTAATGGGTATTAATAGACTTATTGTAAGTAATACGACCTAATGGAAGACAGGCATTATAGATATGTATGTATTGTTTTACCAGAGGGAGACTTTGTACAAAAGTTGTTTGCTTGGGTACCTCTGTCCCATTCGTGTTTCTACCGTAAAGCAGTTGTGTTTGCATGGCGGTGTTTCGGTTTGAAGGGTGGGATATGGCGTGAATTTACACGGTACAGAGGAATAATATTTGAGTCCTCAGGAATGGCAACGCATGGGAGGTATCATGGGCGAAACAGTATACTCTGTTATGTCCATGGTACTGCTCATGTCTATAGGCGACGGTTACCACTTTCCATCAGGTGGGCCGTCACCTTGTTTGCCATTCTAAGTTGTATAAAAAAGAAATTGTATGTATGTATACATCGAGTCTGTACTAACAAAAAAAAAAAAAATACGAATCATTAAAAGTGTCAACTTTAGACCAGCTGTACATTAAATATCATTGTCCAGCACGCATATATGCACGAGTATGTGATTAATCTTCTTGACATTCTAAATATACCATCTGTCGGAACAGGTTACGATCAGACAAAATAAAAACAAAGGCGTTGGCAGGAGAAGAAAAAATAATTATATTCACGACGAGTTCATTGATCCATTAAGCTTTTAAATACCTATAGTAAATAACACTATAATTAATTATTACTAAATAAACCTTTTAAGCGGCCGTGTGGTCCCAGCATAGAATGGACCACCTCTTTCTTTACCGTGGATACCGTAAGAGGCGACTAAGGGAATTTATTTTTCGAGGTATGGCCAGCTGGGTCCCTCTTAAAACATCGAAAGCCTAATGCGGTTGCCATGCTGCCCGCCAAACGTGACAACCACTGACAGAATCACTAATGGTGTATACCGGCAGGAAATGGTCCCCTGTTTTTTGACTCGATACAGTTCCTTACGGCAGCCCCATAGTTGGATACCTATATTTGTATCTTTCAAATGAGTTATACGTAGACATGAGTGTTTTGTGGCTCAGTTGTTATTACCCTGACTTATAGATCGCAAAGATCGTAAGTTTGAATTTGGTTAACACAAAAAAACCTTTACTCCAGTGATGGAGCAAACAAAACAAATTTATAAATTTTGAATTTTAATATGATTAACGTCATTTGTTAAATTAATATTATTTTTCAAATGCCTCATTAGGATTATCATGATTTATTTATTTATTTTTTATACCATGAAGGTGGCGAAACTAGCATACAGCCCATCTGATGGTAAATAGTCATTGAAGGTTATAAATTCCTACAACAAAAAGGATGTCACGTGCGCATTGCCGATTCCAAAGACACATTGTCATAATTTATATTAAATGAAGATGTACAACAGGCGAGCTCAACTCCGTAAGAGTTCTCTTCCAGCAAACCCTGAGTGGAAAGGAGCATTAATTACCAGCGAGCAGTGTGCGTACAATAAGAAGTGGAAGCAGTTTAGTACCAGTACTTATTATTATTATATATTTATTATTTAGAATAAATAATAATAATATAATATGATATAATATAATTAAACGGAAGACTTTTAAACGCACTAATCTGTGGAACTACTTGTAGTTTTTTTTTAAATTCTTTTAGCATTTGCTACTTCAGTTCTTGAGGGAAGTTATAGGCTACTTAACATTATGATACATCTCTTGCGAAGCTGCGTGATAGAGTTAGTATTATATAATTCATATACGAAGTTCTATCAAGTATTTACAACAAACGAAATAAACAGTATTTGTGGTACTACACCTTTAAGCAGTTCAAGGTTTGTGATGGTCTCGCTAGCGCTTCAATAAATTACTCCGAACTTCCTTCGATTCATCTCACTACAAACTACAACCTCGATTTAGCGTCTTTTGTTTCACTTTGATACATTAGTTTTTAACGGATATGTTTGTTTACTGCTATAGGTTTGTGTTTACCGGTTTTTGGATGAATGGAATGATTCTCAAATTATGCGTTTGTAGCTTGGGATTTTTTTTTTTGATGGGTGAAAATGGTATGGTAACCCCGCCTGCGCTAACGGGATACGCTGGCGGAGCACCAGTGAAGGGTGATAGATGAGAATGAAAACAGGCCAGTTAGCCCATCATGATGAATTCATTAGGAATTAACAATAATATTCTTATCAAGCTGTCACTGAAAATTTGGATTACGGTGGCAAAAACGTATTTGAAAAATCTCAAAGCAAAATATGATGTAGATGCAAAGATTTTAATGGTGGAGATTTTATGCAACGTATTCCACGATCGACGTTTCAGTTCGCTACAGTACACTTTTTGAACAATCAATCAGAACAATTTTAAAATGTTTTTTTTTTTTTTTTACAGATAATTGCACATTGCCATTATTAGATAATTTCACTGGCGTAGATCTAGGCATAGGATAGGCCACCCCTTCCTTATCATGGTGGAGAGATGAGCAGCAACGTTCTTCTTAAAACATCCAAACTGCGGTTGCCAACCCGTTTGCCAAGCGGTGCAACTACTAGCAAAACATCTTCTTATGGGAAAAGCCTTTGTTCAGCAGTGGACAGTTAACGATTGATACGTTACTCTGTAATTTTACAGCAATATTTTTACCCATCAATCCGAAACATAGCCATTAAAGCATAACTGTTTCATGACAGAAATGTAACTATATCATGAAGCAGCTATGTTTGATTGTATTAAGATAGGTATTCGCATAATCATATTTGTATGGGGGAGAAGGGATTGTTAGTAATGCAGATTATCAGTTCCATTGCTAATAATATACTCTAACAGGTCGACCTCCTTGTGATCTCCCCTGGAAACCATCGTGCTGCATTCCAAGTGTATTCATCACGATGGGCTAACTGACCTGCCTTTTCATCCTCACCTATCATCTATCACTGGTGCCCCGCCAGCGTATACCGTTAGCGCAGGCGGGGTTACCATTCCATTATCTTCAATTAAAAAAAAATCATATTTGTATTAGAAATGTGAAGACTTGTAACGATAGATGAATTTTTGTTATTCTTTCACGCAAAAACTACCGAACGGATTTGAATGAAATTTGGTACACGGATAGGTTATATTCTAACTTAGCACATTATATACTGATTCACGTGAGCGAAGCCACGGGATAAAGGTAATCTTACATACTCATATTTGAGATAGGTTTATTACAACCGGATCTTTACTAAATTTGTTTCCAAATATTTTATTTTATTTAAACATTGTAGTTAGTTCAACCTTTTTTATTATCGTCCTTATTATAAATTCAAGTTTGTTGAGTTTTTTTATCTGAGACTTCGATACAAACAAGTTAAAAAAAAAAACATCTGTAGCCTGTTATTAATTTATAATTCGCATGGTAATAAAATTATATTATCGTCTTTTATTTTTTCGAAACTCAGCAATTATTATTGTTTATAATTAATTATATGTGAAATCATGACTGGTTCCTTAGTTTATTTAAAAAAAAAAGGTTTTGTTGGATTTACAAGTAATAATAAAAAGAAATAAAACGTTATACATTTATTTCTTTTTATTTGTCGTAACTAGTAATATGCCGTAGCATCCAAGATGATGTAACTTTATATTAAGATTTGTTATATTATTTCATTTAAAAGACCTTTTTTTTATGAGTGAAAATGGTATGGTAACCCCGCCTGCGCTAGCGGGATACGCTGGCGAGGCACCAGTGAAGGGTGATAGATAAGAATGAAAACAGATCAGTTAGCCCATCATGATGAATTCATCAGGAATTAACCACGATAGTTTCCAGGGAGAACCGCGAGGAGGTCGACCTGGTTGGGTATATTGCTAGTAATGGGATTCTCAGTCTCCGTTCCTAACAATCCCTTTCCCTCCATTTATTTTATATTAGTGGCCCGCTCTACACACATTATCGCACGGAAGCAACATTATTGTAAAACATCGAATTTATTTCCTCAAGTATACAAAAGTTTAACAAGGAAGTTTGCATACATTCAATCTTCTATGATTAGAAAATATGGTACCCAACATAGATATAACATAATTGTTTGAGAAATATAGCAACAGATGGTATATCTTCCGTCTTCTTTTTGCTAATTATATTTGCATAAGGAGAAAGGAGGCAACCGTATGATTTACAGTTTTTATTTTATCATCCCTTCTATGTAATTCCATGTTCTTAGATTGTTTCCTATTTTACAAATATAATAATATAGATGTTTATAGTTTTTATTTATATAAATATAAAAAGACTGTGTTCCAGAAAAAAAAACCGCCGTTCAATTGTGGCAATACCAGTTAGTTTGATTTAAAATTATTGGATCAAGTTTGATAAAATATCTATGCGATCAGTTTATAAGTATATCCTTGCAGTTAAAAAAAAAAGTAATTTTCAAATCGGTTTATAACTGACGAAGTTATGAGGTACGAAACACAAAAAAACTAAGAACTAAAATTATAACCTCCTTCCTTTAGAAGTCTGTTAAAAATTTTAAAAATCTATCATTGGTGAGCACACCGTTTAAGATCAGCTATTTTTTAACGTTTGTACGTAATAGCCTGATCAAGGTTTTATTTTAAATTTGGAAATTGGATACCGCAATATTTGTTGGGTTTGTTAGCTATTCAATATATGGTAAATATGTGTTATTTTTTAATTTATGCTTTCTATAAAATATTCCGATTGTTTTAGAGACGTTTAATTTCATCACTATTAAAGTAACCTTGAAACTATTTCTTGCAAAACAAAACACTATCGCTATTTATAATATTATAAATATTTTATTAATTAACACTAATAAATTCATTAAAATTGTTCATGGTAACATATTTCAAAATAGCGTAGGATCTTCGTACACTCCAGCGAATAGAATAGCACTTGAACACCTTTCGACAATTAAATACACAAATTCTTTATTGGCCACAAATTTTTGTCCCAAACGTCTCGTCTCCAAACCTATGACGGTGGCTGATGCCGCCACTGTACCACTTTCAGTCACTTCAATGTCAACATTCTGAATAGTTTTAGACACAAATAAAGGACTATTAGACACTCCAGGCAACTGCGCTCTCTGTTTGTCAAAAATGGAAATAATCCCGGAATACTGTAGCGGTGGTATTAAATCTGTCTGTGAAGACATCTTGAATCTTGGCACGTAGACTTCCACGTCGGGAACATTCGTGGACAATTTATATTCCTTCATCCAACTCAGAGAATGAGTCGCTAGATTTTTCAATAATGTCTGTATTGAAACACCATCAAACGGTAATAGTATAAGCATGGCGAATTGTCGATCTCGACCATAAGTCAACTCCAACACCTGAGCCTCTATACTGGTTGCGTCTCCAAAACTGTGGTTCCCTTTTTGGTACATCATATTCACAGATCCTGTTCTTTTCCCCTGAGAATTATAAAATGACTCGACTTTTGTTTCTGCGGGATCGAACTGATTCGTCCAATTAGCTTTAAAGTACAGAGCATCGATGAGAACCATTCGGAGGTTCTCCAAAACTTCAGGTTTAATTACATTCAATATTCTTCCTTCTGTCGCTAAACATATGAAGTAATTTATATCGTTGGCGAGCTTGGTAGTGTTGCTAGGATCCACTGAGTATATATCAGTACTGTATGTGATAGCTGCTTTGCAAAATTCAGGATGAATCTCTAGAGAACAATCAGAAAACATAACAGATTTTCCATTTAAGAGCACATCTTTATCACCACACTTCAAAATATTCCTAGCAGCTAGATGTAACGCTTGTGTTGATCTCAGATCTCTAGGAAGTCGCAGTTCCTTCATTAACTCCAGGAAAGTATCTCCGGACGAACCTTCTGCTAGCAAAGAGAAGATGCTCCACACTGAGAGAGGTGATATCGCTATATTTTGCCTTAATTTATTCGGATCGTTTTTTACATACGCGTAAGTATTATCTAGTAGTCGTAAGGCGAACTGGTTGATTGGTGCGAAATCGTTAACGTCCAGAGTGGTTGGCGCCGTCGAGACTAAACTGACAAACGTCAATGTCATGAACTTCCACATTTTACACGACTTAAGAGTACAACCTTTGGCGCAATACTGCTATGGCAAAAAGCGATTCTATCAATTTCAATGGGAGTTTTCTCACGTACGATGCACACAATGTATATCATTAAGACGTGTAACGTGTACCGTGAGTGATTTTAAAGAACTATGCTCGAGTGCGGATGGGAAGCGTTTATATGAGAGTGACAACTATTAATAAAATACTCGGAGCATTCAAATTGGTTTCCATTACGCGTCGATGGCAAATTGATTTTTTTTCTTCGTAGTTTTTTCAATCATTCGTAATAATAAAAGTGATTATAGTACTGTTGGATGCGTTGTTTACCTTGGTAAAAAGTAGTAAGCTTTCAGTAATGTTATTACACTACTTACGTCATACGGATTTGCTTGACACGATTTAAAGTTGACAGACCATTGATATCCAAAATGTTTTCATGACTATTCGCTATATTTTAGTTATGTTTTCCAAAACTATCTGCCAGTTTGTCATGAGATTTTATAAATAAATGATATTATGTTGATAGATGTCTCCTAATGCGTGAATGGGGGGGGGGGGGGGGTGAGGGATTGTTAGTAGTGGAGTCAAATAGCCTTATTACTAGCAATATACCAGGTCAGGTCGACCACCACGTGTTTCTTCCTGGAAACCATCGTGGCTAATTCTAGTTGAATTCATCAGGATGGGCTAACTGACCTGCTTTCATCCTTCATCTATCACTGGTGTCCCGCCAGTGTATACCGATAGTACAGGCGGGATTACCATACCATTATTATCCATTAAAAAAAATGCGTGAATGGTGGTAGAGGTGTGAAATATAAGTATATATGAACCAGTAAGGGGTATAGCGTGAATATGCGTATATGGGTATATGCGTTATATGTTTATCTTTTAAAAATAAATAAAAATACAATAATAATATAAAAGATTATAATATAAGATACAATTATATTTATGAAGTTTTTAAGTGACTTCAAAAAAAGGAGGACGTACTTTATTTTCATTGATTATTTTAAATTTTATATGTCTAAAATTCGTGACTTAAAATTCTTTTTTTTTTTTATTAGAAAGGATATGCTTTGAGATTATTTCTATAAAAATTTCGTCAAAATTAGTTGAAAAGTTTAGTTTCTGTGTAGAGCAAAATCTATTTGTTATATTACGAAATATAGGTAAGTTTTCGAAGTTAGTTTTATAACTTTTTAAATATAAAACAATCCAGATACAGTGTTATATATTTTTTTCACATGAAGTATAATATATAAAAGAATTTTTACAGATAAACAATTTTATAAGAGACGGGAATTAATGCAATCATTTAATTAAACTATGATAAATTATTTTCAGTAATTTCGAGTAATTTTTTTTTATATAATAAATAATAAGATACAAACGAATTATACTTATCGCAATTTAAAAGATATGGAAAGATTTGAAGAAAAGAATAAAAGAAATTTATAATACAATTATTTATATTTATTTTGTTACATTACATTATAATAATTTGCATTTAATATGGCTGTATTCAAGAAGACGATGGATCTTCGTACACTCCCGCAAACAATATTAAATTAGATCTTCTTTCTTTAATCAAGAAAACAAATTCTCGATCTGCAATGAACATTTCCAATTTCTTTGTTTCTAACCCTACCATCGTGGACGAAGCTACTGTAGTCCCGGTTTCGGTCACGTCCATTTCTATATTTTGTACTGTTTGCGATACAAATAAGGAAATATTTGATACACCCTCCAATCTAGCTTGTTGCTTGTCGAAAATGGACATTATTCCCATAGACTGTAACGCCGGTATTACATCTGTTTGGGAGGTTAACTTAAATCTTGGTATCGAACATTGCATTTGGACACTTTCAAAACTCATACTATTCATCCAATTCGATGAACACGATGCCATATTTCTCAAAAGTTTGTCAATCGATATCCCTTTGAATGGCAACACGATGAGCATAGAAAATTGCTTGTTTTTCCCATATGTTAATTCTAATACATTCGCTTCGATTGCCGGAACGTCTTTGATATTGTAAATAGCTTTCTGAGTCATCATATTAACAAATCCTATTTCGTCACCATTGTAGTTGTAAAACGGTCGTGTTCTTGTTTTGTCAACATCAAATTGTACAGTCCAATCAGAATTGAAGTAAAGAGCATCAATTATAATCATTTTTAGATTCTCCAAAATATCTGGTTTTACTGCATTACCAATTTTTCCGTTTGTTGCTCGCGATATGAAATCGTTGATTTCTTTCGCTAATTTTGTTGGATTGCGGGTGTCAACTGGAAAGATGTCTGTATCACGATTGACAGTTGACTGAGCAAATTGCGGGCAAACACTGAAGTTTTTATCGTACAGCATGATTGTTTGAGCATTTATTACAACATTCTCGTCGCGACTCCTCAAGAAATTTCTCGCAAAGCGGTGTTGCCTCTGAATCGATCTTCTTTCACTGGACAACCGTAACGCTTTCGACAATTCTAGAAAGCTCTTCCCCGACGCACCTTCGGCGAGTAAAGAGAAGACGTTCCATATCGAAAAGGGTGCTATGACTACGTTTTTCAACTTTAAATTACTTCTCTGATAATTGTATGTGCTGTTCAACAATTCGATGGAGAATTTATTGATTGGCGAGATCAGTACATCTATAAGATCTGTCACTTTATACGTTACTGGAGCAGTTGTGGCTAGGCCTATAAACATAACAGAAAATATTTTCCACATTTTATTTCTTGGACAAAACAAGCCTTATTGCTTTAGTACGATGTATGGTATTGTTCACATTTATTGTGATAATTTATCGGATACGCCATAAGGTTGAGTTACGTAAATGAACTATGGGAAATTCTGGATGGGAATTGCTTATATAGACGTGACACAGATTCCACATGAGACAAATATATTGTTATGTGCATAATAAATGTAACAAAAGTACTAGATAAAATAAGTAAAGATAACGTCTACTAGAACAGGCGTTTGTCGTTTGTTGATTTGTGATCAATGATCGGTGAACTAAATAATATTACTATGAAGTATTTATATTGAGCTAATGTGATGATATCGAGAGAGAAGGGATTGTTAGTATACCGGCTTATCGGTCCCATTGCTAACAATATACCCTAACAGATCGATCTCCCCGTGGTCCTCCCTGGAAACCATCGTGCTGAATTCCAAGTGTATTTATCACGAGGGGCTAATTGACCTGCCTTTTCATCCTCACCTATTATCCCTCACTGGTGCCCCGCCAGCGTATACGGTAGCGCAGGCGGGGTTACAATTCCATTATCATTCATTAAAAAAAAAGATGATATCAGCCGTATTGTCCATTGTTGTACATAGGCCTCCTCCTTGAGGAGTTTTGCAAGTAGTTGCCACGCTTTGCAAGCGGTTTGGCGGGTTGGCAACAGCAGGTTTTGGTGATGTTTTAAATGCTGTTGCCCATCTCTCGACAATTAAGCATTGAGGTAATTATATTATGAAATACAATATACAGGATTAGTAATATCATTACTAGTTACTAGTAAACTAAGCCGAAATCCAGTGATACCATCATTCATAAAACTGAACCGTTTTCCATATATAGAAACCTTTTTTTATAACATAAGAAGCAAAAAAACATGTGGCTCACTCTTTTTTTTAATGGATTATAATGGAATGGTAACCCCGCCTGCGCTATCGGGATACGCTGGCGGGGCACCAGTTGTAAATGACTGATGAGGATGAAAGCAGGCCAGTTAGCCCATTCTAACGAATTCAACTAGAATTAGCCACGACGGTTTCCAGGGGAATCACGTGCAGGTCGACCTGACAGCGTATATTGCTGGTAATAGGGTATATTTGCCCCCATTACTAACAATTCCTTTCCCCCCTGTGGCTCACTTGAGGATAAGTGATTACCGCCGCCCATAAGTACCTGTAAATATACCTACCTTATAGTACCAATATGAAGGGGGAAAGAGATTGTTAGTAATGGAGACTGAGAATCCCATTGCTAGCAATATACCCAACCAGGTCGACCTCCTCGCGGTTCCCCCTGGAAACTATCATGGTTAATTCCTGATGAATTCATCATGATGGGCTGACTGGCCTGTTTTCATTCTCATCTATCACCCTTCACCGTCAGCGTATTCCGTTAGCGCAGGCGGGGTTACCATAGCATTTTCACCCATCAAAAAAAAAACCCAATATGAAGTCGCGGATTAAACTTAATAGTGAAAAATTTCTCTCAATAGGATCCTATTGGCAAATAGACAAATCAGTAACTTGCAAACAAAACTGCCTCTAATTTTAATCTGTAGTTTGAATTATCATAAATATTTTGTCAGTCGGATAGGGGTTATGACGAAATAGCCTATTTTTGATTTATACTTTAGTTGGTAGGCACGTGTAGGTATAAATATTTAATATAGACATAACATTCGATTACAAATACTCGAAATTTTTTTTTTATGCAAATTGCCCACCTGATGGAAAGTGGTAACCGTCGCCTGTAGATATGAGCAGTACCATGGACATAACAGAGTATACTGTTGCGCCCATGATACCCCCCATGCGTTGCCATTCCTAAGGACTCAGGTGTTATTCCTCTGTACCCTGTAAATTCACGCCATATCCCACCCTTCAAACCGAAACACAGCCATGCAAACACAACTGCTTCACGGTTGAAACACGAATGGGACAGAATGACGAATGGCAAACAAGCTTGCTGTTCACTTGATTAAAAGTGGTAACCGTTCTCTATAGATATGAACAAAACTTTTTGAAAGGCCGGCAGCAGATCTGTAGTGTTACAGGTGTTGCGGGTGCTCATGGACAACGGTGGTCACTTACCATCAGGTGAGCCGCATGCTCGTTTGCTCCGTGTGTTATAAAAATTTAACACTGTAATGACATTATATGTAGAATGCACACACAGTAACGCGCCTTCATTCTGTGATGTCACGGTATACGGAAGAAAACTTAATTCTCTGAAATGGGAAGCAATGTAATGGTACATGGGTGTCACAGTGTAATTTGTATGTAAGAGTTGGTGGTGTTTACGTCCTGTGTTCAAACTTGTGTACTAAAAAAAATAGCTATTCTAAATTTGAAATTTTCGCCAGTTTAGGCTAAGCTGTTGATAATTTGTCAGGCAATCAGGACTCAGGGCGTCTTTTTAACCGACTTTAAAAATTATAAAGAAGTTCTCAATTCGGTTGTAATTTTTTTTTATGTTTGTTGCTTTATAATTTTGTCAGTTGTAATACGATTCGAAAATTTCTTTTTTTCTGAAAGGCTATACTTACATATTGATTGCATAGAAATTTTATCAAAATCAGTTCAGTAATTTAAATTTTAATTCAGTAAGGTTTTGTCTTAATTGAAGTCGGTTTTTTCGTGTAATATAATCTTAAATTATTAGAATATATAGATGGATTAAATTCTTTCATAAATGTGTATTTTGTTTTTGGTAGCTGGGGTGCACGTACATATTTTATTTCTTTTTCTAAGTCCCTAATCGGCTAAATCGAATTATTTGGAAACTAAAAGAAGCTACATAGGTCGCGCTATAATCAAGAGATATGCCATGAAATGCTATCTATTTTATTACTAGTAAACTACTATTAATTTATTTTGAGGTTTGCTTCCGAATAAGATATAGTGCGATAATATATTAATAGATGTCGCTATTCCTACTAAAACATTTTGTAAGTATAAACAAATAAGCAATATTGCATACAAACATTTTATTTATAAACATAATTTTCTTTATACAACTTAGAATGGCAAACAAGCTGACGGCCCACCTGATGGAAAGTGGTAACCGTCGCCTATACACATGAGCAGTACCATGGACATAACAGAGTATACTGTTTCGCCCATGATACTTCCCATGCGTTGCCATTCCTGAGGACTCAGGTGTTAATCCTCTGTACCCTGTAAATTCACGCCATATCCCACCCTTCAAACTGAAACACAGCCATGCAAACACAACTGCTTCACGGTTGAAACACGAATGAGATAGAGGTATCCAAGCAAACGACTTTTGTACAAAGTCTCCCTCTTTACCTTTATCAAACACAAAGCATGCTGTGGTTGCATATAAATGTAAGAACAGTTAGATCTAATTTGCCAGTGTATTGTTTCGCTGTATCTTATTTTGGTGATACTATTGTGGCAACCCTGTCTTTTTAACAGGAGATTTTGGACAGAGAAAAAACACGGTGGTTGCTTTTTTGTGTACGGTGCAGGGAAAAATTGTAATCGGTTGGATTTATGTATGTATGGTGTTATATATTAATAGTGCTTATGTACCAAAACTTCGTCGTTTTATTGCACCTCAACTTTGCCGCGTGGTTTTCACCGGCGTGTTATAGTAAAGTATTACGACACACCTTCAACGGCGATCTAATCGGACCACCTAGCTTGACGCAAGAAGGCGCTACCGAGAAAGACACCTGCGTCGAGTCAGCACATCAATTCCCACAGCAAAATTACCCAGTTCCTTTGTATTTGATTCGATATGACTTCACTTACAGATCACACATCGATCTGAAGGCACCTATTATTGTAACAATTAATTTTATGATTAAATTTAGTTATTTTATAAAATTGTTTTTTTTTGGGTCTTCCGCCAGCGACTTCAATAACTGGCGTATCAACACCAAACTATAAATAAATAAATAAATGTAAGCATATACCATACAATAATCTCCCAGCTTATTGCTCTATGTACTAGCAGTATGTAATCAACTAGGTACTGACGTATCCAGAGCTCGGGTTAATTAACCACAATTATTGTTGGTATATTACTGCCGACTCACTGATAGCACTCATATGATATATCATTGTCTAAAATATTACATAGATTGATGTTGCAGGATGCATTTGCTCTGTCTACATTGATAATTATCAATTATCAAATCTCTAGATAATTATTCTACTAATAAGTATTTAGGTATTGTAAATGTGAAAGTTTATAAATACATGGTTTATAATCAGTGACGTAACTATACCATTTGGGGCCTGTGGCAAATTCTTTTGATGGGGCCCTATCAGTAAAAAAAAAATACTTAGCATTACTTATCACTATGCTGACGTATTATGTATATGTGTATGTATATTTATATATGTTTATATGTGTATATATATGTATGTGTATATGTATGTTTGTGTAAATATATGTGTATGTTTACAGGGTATTTTATGTAATTTATAATGTGTAGTTTGTATTATTCTTTGTGTATACATAACTTATGCGTTTATGCAATATATGCAGATCGTATGACTGCCTATTTTTATTTATAAAATAACACATTAACATGGAAAGGTTTTGCTGGAAGAAATCTCTTATTAGAGATAAGCTCGCCTTTGTACATTATGTTTATAATGAATTGTAATTACCAGTATGTTTTGTGTACAATAAAGAATAAAGAATAAAGAATATTTTTCAAATAAAATAAAATACTTAGGTACAATGTAAAAAAATATATTACGGAGCTCGCGGCCTCTGGAGCCGGGGACCTTTTGGGTCGGGGGCCCGTAGCATTTTGCTAACCTAAATGCTATATATATATATTTTTACAAAGATTTCACAAGAGCTTTAATACTAAAGTTCTTATAAAATCTTTGTTTCTCTTAATATATTTTGAAATATTAAATTATTATATGGCAATTCAGTTATTATTATTGATTATTTATTTATTAAATAACGATAATTCATGATTTTTTCAATAAAAAAACAAAACTATAGTTACTATTTATCATTAGATGGATTGTATGCTTATTTGCTATACTCGTGGTATAAAAAAAATACTTT